AGCAGAGGGGGAGGAGAACCTCCCTCGACCTCTGACCACCTGGTTCTCCCCTCCTGTCCCCTTCCCAGCTATCGGAAACTGGCCTTGAAGAACCATCCATTGAAATGTAAGGAGCCCTGGGCGCCGGAGAGGTTCAGGCAGCTGGCAGAGGCCTACGATGTGCTCAGCGACCGTAAGTGGGGGAGATCTAGTTCTTTTCCATGGAATTTAGGGACAAGAAGGGCTGGACTGAGAGTGAAGTATCTCTGGTGTGGCCAGAGGGGTGCTGAGGTCTGAACCCCCAGTCACTAACATGCCCACGGTGGTGACATCAGCTCTGTGACCCATAGCCAGGCTGAGAGCTGCTTCCATCCCACCTCTTGCTGTTCACAAGGTGGCTGGTGATCCCTTCTCCCACCTCTGCCTTGAATCTCAGCATGGGAGAGCATGACCATTCCCAACTTCTCCTTGTTCCCTAAGCCATGAAGAAAGGCATCTACGACAAATTTGGAGAAGAAGGGCTCAAAGGTGGCATCCCTTTGGAGTTTGATGAGGACGACAACATTTGGACCGAAGGCTACGTGTTTCACAACAACCCTGACAAAGTCTTCAGGGAGTTCTTTGGTGGAGACAACCCCTTTGCAGGTAGGTGGGGAGGCCCAGGGTCCCCATCTGTGGCTCCTGTTGGTGCTGTGGCCACTACCAGCTCTGAGCTTTAAGCTTTAGGGGGATGTTTCCTTGCCCAGCTACTTTCAGGTCTCTCTTGGGCAGCTGGTCCACAATGTTTTGAGGTTAAATCCTGACTTCCTCCAGTCCTGGGTGGGTGAGGAGTCTGAGGGGTGTGTGTTCAAGCTGTCAGCTCTCCCCAGCTACTCTTGTGACCCTTTTCTTGGAGGTTTTCCATCAAAAAGAGGGATTGGGTTGGTGAAGCTGCCATAAACATGTCAATGAGATAAAAACACTGCTGGAGACAAACACTTCAGCTGGAGGAGGAGGAAGGTGGTCCCAGGCAGAGCTGATGGGAGGTGATTGATTTGGGGTGCTCAGCTTTCATGATAAGGAGACCTCAGGGGACCTCCTGACCTGTGATCCCTGTGAGGTGACCTCTCCTCTGCTCGCTGCTGCAGAATTCTTTGCCGAGGATGGCTCGGAGTTGATCCTGCCCTTCGGAGGGCTGCGAGGACGAGGAGCCATGAAGCAAGACCCCCCGATCGTGCGGGATCTCTACCTCTCCCTCGAAGATCTTTTCTACGGCTGCACCAAGAAGATTAAGATCTCCCGCAGGGTAGGGGGAGGGGGTGAAGGGGGATCACGCTCGGCTCTCCCCAGCCTGGAGAAGAGAAGGATCCAGGGAGACCTTCTAGCGGCCTCCCAGTACCTGAAGGGGCTCCAGGAAGGTGGGGAGGGACTTTGTCCAAGGGCAGGGAGTGAGAGAACAAGGGGTGATGGCTTGAAAGTGTCAGAGGGGAGATGGAGCTGAGATGTGAGGAAGAAATTGTTTGGTGTGAGGGTGGTGAGCCAGTGTCCCAGGTTGTCCAGAGAAGCTGTGGCTGCTCCTCCCTGGAAGTGTTTGTGGCCAGGCTGGATGAGGCTTTGAGCAACCTGGTCTAGTGGAAGGTGTCCCTGCTGCTGGCAGGGGGGGGGAACTGGATGTTCTTTAAGGTCCCTTCCAACCCAAACCGGTCAGTGATTCTGTCCCACACTGGGAGGGCACCCAGGGCTCCCTGCACCATCTGTGCAGTTGTGTCCAGCACCACAGGGTCATGATCCAGCTGGGGGGCTCAGTGCTGTTGTGGATGATGGAGCCAACACCTGGTGCTGGCTGCTCTGATGACAGAGCAGAGCTGAGCTCCCACCTGGCTGCAGACCCACCTCTCCAGACAGGACCCAGCTCTTCTAACCCCCTTGTCCACCCCTCCCAGGAGATGAATGAAGACGGTCTAATTAGCACCATCAGAGATAAGATCCTAACGATCAACGTGCAGCCAGGATGGAAGCAGGGCACCAGGATCACCTTCGAGAAGGAAGGAGACCAGGTAATGACCATGGTGTGAAGTTCCTGACCAGGTTTCCTCAGGAACAAACCTCACACTGGGCAGGTTTCCCGTTTCTGCAGGTTGTGGGTGGTTGGTGGGACGGTTGACGGAGCGATTCGCTGTTCCTGTGCTCAGAAACGCTTGAAGGAGCCCTTCCTGCCTGGATTGGGCTTAAGAGAGATCGAAATTAATCACTGAAAGGGATAATTTTCTGCTTGTCATCAACCCCCTCAGATTTCCTTTGGCTGAGCAACGAGGGGACAGCCACTCGTGTCACCTTTCCCTGTGGAAAACCATTGGTGTGTCACACCAAACCATTCCTAGATATCTTCATTATTATTTCTGTTTTTTCTCCTCAATTTTAGGGCCCAAACGTCATTCCAGCTGACATCACCTTCATTGTCCAAGAGAAACTTCACCCAAGGTTTAAAAGAACTGATGACAACCTTATATACGTCACCACCGTCCCCCTGGGAAAGGTAATGAGTCAAGTGAGGGGACAGAGCCAGCCCTGGTGACATTTTCCCCTCTGGGGTGGCAAATGCAGCTCCAGGTCCCGCTCGGTGCCTCGCAGGCGCTGATCGGCTGCACGGTGACCGTGAAGACGTTGGATGGGAGGTTGCTCAACATCCCCATCAACGACATCGTGGAGTAAGTGTCGTGGGACAAATGGGCTGGTGGGTTGGGTGGGACCTTTCTGCAGAGCTGGTCGCTGTGCAGAGGTGACTCAACCTTGGCCTGTTCCTCCTCGGGAAGAGTTTGGCAGTTCCCAAACTCATCCCCGTTGCTGGAATTACCGAGGTGGTGCTTCAAAACCTTTTCCAGCAGGTTCAGGGTTGGGAGGTCCCAGCCTGGGGGAGGAAGATGCCCACCATGGGCTACTCCCATTACCAGAGTGGTGACACCATCACCTTGGTAGTGGCTTGAAAGTGTCAGAGGGGAGATGGAGCTGAGATGTGAGGGAGAAATTGTTTGGTGTGAGGGTGGTGAGCCAGTGTCCCAGGTTGTCCAGAGAAGCTGTGGCTGCTCCTCCCTGGAAGTGTTTGTGGCCAGGTTGGATGAGGCTTTGAGCAACGTGGTCTAGTGGAAGGTGTCCCTGCTGCTGGCAGGGGGGTTGGAACTGGAGGAGCTTTGAGGACCCTCCCAACCCAAACCAGTCAGTGATTCTGAGTTTGGGGCCATGTTACTGGTAGCAGAAGCCAGGAGAGGTCTTGGCGTGGGTGGGTGGAGACAGGAGTGAGATGAGGGCTGGATGGTAGAGCCTGTGGGGCAAGGAACCTGGAGACACACCTGGAAGAGGAGAGCAGACCACCAGTTGAAGCTGGAGGAGCAAACTTGCCCTAAGAAACCTCCTCAGGAGTGTCTGTGGGGTTCTGCATGTGGACACATCACGGTTTGGTGCTATGGCCACCATGTCAGGATCATCCCATGGTTCCTCTCAGCTCCTTCCTTTGCTTTGCAGCCCCACGTACTGTAAAGTGGTGCCAGGGGAGGGGATGCCGCTTCTCCAGGACCCTCGGCGCAAGGGTGATCTCCACATATATTTCAACATCTGTTTTCCCAAGAAACTCACCCCTGAGAAGAAAATACTCTTGCAAAAAGCCCTCCTGTCCTAGAGAACGATGACCTTCCCGCTCTCCTCCCCCCAGTAAAGCTCTGGAACCACCACTGTGACCAGGTTGAAGTTCTTCTCAGTACCAAGCACCCTAAATCACAACACCCTGGAGGTTCTTTCCCTTGGGGCTTCAGGGTTGACGAGCAAAGCAACGAGGGGAAGGTGGTGATGGCAGCATCAGGCTCAGGAGGGGACCTCTTGCCAGTGGCCACCAAGCCTTGTTTCAGCTTCTT